GAAATATTTTGCGAGAAAGCGGTGGGGATTTTTTTTATTTTACTGTTTTTTTCTTTTTTTCTTTTTTAATTTGATTGCTGATGGGTCATTGTCGTCCTAACTTTTTCTTCTCTCTTTCATTCTCTCTCTGTTTCCCGGCCCTCCTCGTCCTCCCTCTCGCTCTCTCCTTCTCTCTCTCTCTCTCTCTCTCTTTCCTTCCCTCTTTTCTCGCTCTCTCTCTCTCTTTCTTGTTCTCGTTCCTCCCCCCCCTCTCTCTCTTTCTCTCTCTCTCTCTGTTTCTTATTCTCCTCTCCCGCCCTACACCTCTCCCCACCCCTCTCCTCTCTTCCTCCACCCCCCCTCTCTCTGTCTCTCTCTCTCCCTCTCTTTCTATTTCTTCTACCCCCTCTACATCTCTCCCCACCCTTCTCCTCTCTTCCTCCCCCCCCCCTCTCCCTCTCTCTCTTTTCCTTCTCTCTTTCTCTCTCTCTCCCTCTCTTTCTATTTCTTCTCCCCCCTCTACATCTCTCCCCACCCCTCTCCTCTCTTCCTCCCTTCCCTCCCTTTTCCCTTCACCATAATACCCTTCAGTGGCAACATAAAGAGGCAAGCCGAGCCACCTCTTTGCGACATTCATCATTGTTGTTATGAGTTACGGGATATTTGCCTCCGTTTTTGGAATCCGGATGACGTCACAGGCCCACACGAACGGCTAACGAGTGTCCGACTTGCTAACGAGAGACGGAGACGGCGATCGCGCGGGCTTTTTAAAAATCTCTTTTAAAAGCCGCCGATACAAAATAAAACGATATTTTAACCTCCGCGCACGATGATTTGTTCATTATAAATCACCGAAGAGTGAATGGAGAGGGAGACAAGAGATAGAGAGAGAGAGAGAGAGAAGGAAAAGAGAGGGAGAGAGAGATAAAATCACGGGTATTCGCATCTACCATCTACACTCTACGGATCCTTGCAATGGGTGCGATACGGGTCATTTTTCTATGCATCCCCGAGGCATAAATAGCCCTTAAAGTCACCGGGGATCCCCATTTCGAGCATTATCGTACATCGGGAGTATCCTAATTCACCTTTCCTTGTAGGGTTGTCAGTTCGTAATTAATTAGCGGTTTAAGTAAGTAGTTTGTCCTATTAATTCTTCTAAAAAGCTTTAGACGAGGGGCTGGTCAGCTGTGGGATTATATATTATCATTATCATCATTATGATTTGGATATTGGTATTTTCGGTTAGCTTTATCGAATCAGCTGATAAGATTGATAACGCATCTGTATTATTTATAATTCAAATTTTCCTTTTTTTTTACTCAAAGGCGTAAAATGAAACCAAAGGTGACATTAATCATGGCCAAGCTAGCAGGAATATTTTGCAATCATTTGCAACACGAGAAGAGCAATATTAGCACCACCGTAAGTTCGGAAATGCTTTACCAGCCTCAAAATTTAATGAAATACAAAAAGAGAGAGAGAGAGGGGAGAGAGAGAGGAGAGAGAGAGAGAGAGAGAGAGAGAGAGAGAGAGAGAGAGAGAGAGAGAGAGAGAGAGAGAGAGAGAGAGAGAGAGAGAGAGAGAGAGAGAGAGAGAGAGAGAGAGAGAACGAGATACCTAAAGAGAGAGAAAAAAACGAACTTCCTAACTAACGTCACTCTTGACTTGCATCAAATAAAATTCTTTTTCCATTAAAAGTTGTTGCTACATTTTAAGCCCATTGTAGCGCTTTTGATTTATGGATCTAGCGTATTAGCGCTAGCTTCTTCAGGTCTGGAATGCTCAGGGAGGTTAAAAGGCCACATCAGCTGATTCAGAAATGGTGTTGGATCCTCTTTCGCGATGTTTATGATTATCTTTGCTTTTGGCGGTGATGATGTCATTATTATCTCGGTGATAATGGGTGGTATATGATTATTTTGATGTATTTATTATTCGTATTTATGACTGTTTGCTTTTGAATGATCTATTCTCGAAGGAAAGTTATCGGTTTTCCTCGTTTTGCGGTGATATCAGGTAATCTAACAACGGTAGATGAAAAATAATGAAAAAAAAGGATAAATTCCTATCAAAATAACTACAGTGACAACGGCAGCATCAACAAATACAGTAATAAATACAACAACAAATTTACGAACATATCCCACACAAAGAACAAATACAACAAAAGATTTGCCGGCCATCGCATCCGTGTCGGGAAAGAACATATAATTTGATATAAAAGCGAATCCATTTATCGCAATTACACGTGTTTCTTATGAATCAAAATTGATTACATTATGTATATATGTATATATTTTTTCCGAAGGCAATTGTGTGTGATTAGTAGCGAGATAATATTTTGTTTAGTTGGCGTTGCCGAGGCTGAGAAATGGGCAACAGAAAACGGAGATTTCTTGATAAGAGTTTTACATTTTTTTTTTTTAGTTCATGTTGTTATATTTCTGTTGTTGTTTTTTTGTATATGTGTCATTATTATGATTATTACTCTATTATTGTTATCAGTATTATCATTATC